TAGAAAATAAAATTCAAGCCAATTTTAATAAATGTGTTGATGATGTGTTGTTGATACTGAAGCTTCTAGAGTATTTTCTCTAAAAGAATCAGCATCTGTTGTAAGATATTTATTTTTAACATTTATTAGAATAATCCAGAACATTTGCTGGGTACAAACTGCCTGCATACTGCTAGAAAATGAATTGAGTAAGTACAGAAAGGGATGTAAGAAAAAGATGTATCTTCTCACTGAATTTATTTAAATTATATAGTGAAACAATCATGAGATTTGCATTCATTTTTATGGTTTATCAAACTTTTGTGGGTTATTTTTTTGGATTGTAATTCTTTTTTTTTTTTTTTGAGTGTATATTGCATTAACTATTTTTTGGAGACACCATGATTTTTCAGACACAAGTCCAATTTTTAATTCCATAACTGGGGGAGAATAGATGGATTCATACCCCTTTCACAAGGGTAATTGCACAAGTGAATGTAACAGACTCAATAGGATTTTGAACTTGGCTCTCCGATTTCTCATTGCCAACTGCTGCAATCCTAAAAGAACTAAAAATATTACCTGCATTTATTATTTGTGAGTACAATCTTAACAACATAAAATATGCAGGTGACACCATGTTGATAGCCAATACAGAAAGAAAAAATTATGAACTGCTATTCAAGGTAGTAAAGGAAAGCAAGAAGAAATGACTAACCATCAATTGTAAGAAGACAGAGTGTATGTTCAACAACAAGATGGACAGCCCAAGATTGGAGATTTGACACTCAAATGACATTGAAGGTAAGAGAGGCAGGAGGAAATACGTAATAACCTAATCAATGAACTTGGGTCAATTGATGACAGAACAGGCATGGAGAAGGACAATGAGGAAACAAATATTGCTTAGAGTTACAAAGAATAGAAAGTTGTGAAGAGCCATAACCAACCATGTCCTGAAGGGACACAGCTTGTTAAAATTTGATGTCATATTATAATCTATTTTCTGCAGGTAGAAAAGCACTTCTTACTTTCCTTATCTACTTGGTTAAGTTTGGTTACTTGGTAAGTGGCCACACGTAGAGAGTGTGATATCAAAAGAGGAAATGAGTAATAATTTGAAAGAAAAATTTGAAATGAATCAACATTCTATTAATATTAAAAGAAACGTACACATATTTAGAAAAGTATTTTTTGATATTGTTAAGTAAGCAAACATATTTTTACAGCATGGATTTCTTTTCATAAAAGAAATTAATATCAATCAACTGAAATAGAAATTTATATGCAATTTACAAAATGCTTGTAAAATCAAGAAAATTACAGAACATTTTAATCTGAAGAAGCAGAGACATGTTTGAAATTAATATTAGAAAAATTTGGTGCAAATTAAATAAGATGAAAATTGCGTACAAAATTTTTAAATTTCAGCATAAAATAACCCATAGAGATTGATATGCTTCTAAATAAAAAAAAAACAACTAAACCAAACCAGACCAAACCAAACCAGACCAAACCAAACCAAACCAAACCAAAAGCACACACACAGACACACACACACATACACACATATATATATAGTTTACAAAGTGTCCAATATCTGAGACAGAGTATTTGTAGATGTAAACAGTGTGGACATAGAAATGAACATTGCTTGGTGACTGGCAGTTTCAAGTCTTAAGTGATCATCACACCATATATATGACATTACTCTTTGTGTAGACTTCATATATACACAACTGGAGGATTAAACGAAATAAGTGACAGGGGAAACCTGCCCTTCCCAGTTCTTTTGTTTAGAGATAACGTTTTTGATTATTCAGAAATCATAACTTTGAGCTTATTTAGTTGCTTTATATATATACTGAAATAATATATCGCCAAAAAACTTGTCGGGTGATGAATATTTCTGTTCCAGCAGATGGCAGCATAGATTTGAAAGAAATTGAGAAACTTCGAAAAATATCTTAACAGAATCTTAAGGGAAAAGAAAACTGTAGAATTTAAAATGGACAGTTGTACCGATCATTACTCATGCACCTGGAAAAGTCCTGAAAAATTTAGCAAAAGAATTATAAGAACTGGAGATCTGAGAGCTAATCGGGAATAAATTCAGGGGTCAGCAACCTTTTACTAACTATGTACTGACTTAGGGTTTTAAAATCATTTAGTGTGCCAACAGTATATGTATTTTTATACAAGTCAAGGTCAATATGCTTGTTCTATAATATAGAGTATATATACTTTAGTATATATTAAAATTGAAACACCTAAATATCTATGCATTGTAGTAGTTATTGGTTTGGACTTCATGATCTCATTTACGGTTGTGCGCCAATGGAAATTGCTTGGCGTGCCACGTGTGGCATGCATACTGTAGGTTGCTGACCCCTGGTGTAGGTACTCTTAAGTGGACAGTTTTTTGATCAGCTCTTATTAAGGAGGATGGCTGATAGATTTAAAAGATGAAACAATAAAATGAAATTACCAATAAAAATGAGGTAATCTGTTCTAAAAGTAGTCCTTATTTGTCATTTTATTATAAAAACGAAAACCAAGGCAAATAACAGGTCAACTTCTTCAATGCCAGGTAGTTTTGGCAAACAGTGTATGGTATCGCCAATAGGATGTTCAAGTCACTTAGATGAACCAGAATTTGTTAAGACTTGGATCTGGGGTTTTGCAGCCCAAGCTAGGGCTAAAAATTGATTGATAAGAAGGCAAGAGAAGGAGAAAATGAAATGACTGACCTCTTTCTAGCTTTCGTAGGTTATGAAACTATAATGAAAATTTCTGTTATGACATATTCCAAACAATTGGAGAAGTTGAATATTGATCGTATGTCATAGAACAGAATACAACACAGGAAAAATTATTTTTGCTTGCAAAGTGACAGTTGGCTTCTAGAAATAAAAAGAGATTCAAATGAAATGATGGACATGCAACACTTAGAATTCTGAAACAGTCATTTGAAAAAGGAATTAGCAAGAATGGGATCATCAATAAGATGTTGACCAAACACTGAAAACAAAAATCTTCTGGGTATGTGTCAATTGTTGTAGTATGATATTGTATGATATTGTATGATTACTTGTATAATATGGTATGATATTGTAGTTTTGTAGTATACACTGATATTTTGGTGAGCCCAAATGTAAAAAGAAAACATGAAAATTAAATTATTAACAAAATGAGTTAAAATTAAAATAAGGCATTTGCTTTCCTTAAAACCCCATATCTCTTTTTCTCTCTCTCTTTCTACCCTTCTGTCTATATGCTTATCTCTCAACTAATTAGAAGACAACCCCCAAATAAAAAAAAGAGGAAGAAGAAAAAATGTACAACTGCTGTGAAACATAAGTTTGCTGATCCAGGGTATAGGTATTGTGACTAGAAATCTACCAAAATATTAGGTTGGTGCAAAAATAATGTCGTTTTTGACGTTGAAGTTGAACGTCAAAAAACGACATTATTTTTTGCACCAACCTAATAAGAGAACTCCATGCATAACTTCCAATATAAAAAAGAAAGGATTGCTGGGAAAAAAATAAAAGTATTTTGGCCAATCAAATGAGTAAAGAGACTTTTGATATTCATCCCAATAGCCTGGAACTCTTCTTCTTTATGTTTTAGGTCCCCTCAGGATGTAGGCGATCATGGCTCTCCACAACTTTTTGTCCCTTGTAAATTTTGTCTTTCTGTTATTTTGTTTAAACCCTGTTCCACCATCCATTTACTCAAGCTAAGTATGTTATGCATTGTCTTCCTCTGTCTCTCTTTCCGTCAGTCTGTCCTGTGAGTATCAGATTTTCCAAGCCCTCTTTCCTTATTAAGTACCCTAGAAACCTCAACTGTCTCTTCCTGATGTTAAGTATAAGTATCCTTTTTGTTTCCATTCTCTTTTTGTCGATGCTCACATGATCAAACCATGGTATATTCAGCATTCTTTACTAGAATGACATTTCTGCTGCGTCAAGTCTCTTTTTCATTGTTCATCACTCACTGCCATAGAGCAGGACAGATATCATGTAGCAGTTTAGTACTCTTTTTCTTGTTTCACGCAATTTTTTTTCTATTTCTTAATACATTGGTTAGCTTTTGGAATGCATCTTTGGCAATCCCAATACGCCATTGAATTTCAGAGCCATACTTTCCATCCTCTGTTAAAATAATTCCCTGATTCCAACACTTGTTTGATTTTGGTTTCTCTCATTTGCAATTCACATTTAATACTCATCCTTTTGCTAACAACCAGGTATTCTGTATTTTTGCAGTTGATGTTTAATCCTTTATTTTCACTTTCCTTCAAGACCTTCTGTAGGGGTTGTTGTAGTTTTCTTTCTGTGTCTTTTATCAACACCGTGTCATCGGCATATCTTATGTTGTTAATATTGTGGCTGCCAATAATAAATCCTTGTAGGACTTCTAGTTCTCTCAGGATCGCTTTGCTGCGTAGGTTGAATAAGTTATATAAAGAGACAGACAATAGAGATGAGTCAGTCAGTGAAACCAGCCAACCATGTTGCATGAAGAAACTAAGCAGTCATCTGCTTAAGATATTTTTCTGTCCTTTATGAAGGCTGAGCAAATACAGCATTTGGTGTCCACAACATGTTTCCAAGTAACCAAACTGCTGACTACTACCAAAGTCTAACTCATAAACTGTCAACTACCCAGCTGAATGAACTTTTGCCAAGCCGAATTACAAAGGAATTGCTTCAAATCAAAGTCAAATAAATAAACATATATTATTTAGATTATGATAGGTATTCTCTCTGACAGATGTAGTCTCATCAAGAGAAGATAACTCTCCCATAGGTATTGCGATATTGCATTTTATACAGTACCTCATTTACATATCACTACACCTCCCTGAACCTAAGAGGCTTTATACCTTTAGTTGATCTTTGACTTCTACAAACAACCCTGGCAGACATAATCCATCTCTCAGAGTGATTCTTTTATCGGAGATCAAGGTCTTAACTGGTTTTCTCACATGAGAATCATCATGATATCTTCAGTCACTCTTATCCCCAGATTTGTTCTTCACTACTACTCGATACACTCATTCTCTCCTTCCTCTCCTGTTCTTCACTTTCATATCTCTGGTGGTCTTCCTGATCTTACTCAATATTGGATTCATTTATCCTTTCTTGCATTGTCTTTTCTTCTGCTTTCTCTTCTCCTTTTCCATAACTTCATGCTTTCTTGTAGTTAGGGCTCCTAACTACCAGTCGGAAACAGCAACCAGAGAACTGTCAATCGTGTACCTTCAGAATGAAGAGGTGATGCCACAGACTGCACGCATCACGGGAGAAACAGAGCTGCACTAATACAGAGGCCGGAGAGAGAAAGAGTACCGGGAACCCCATCCTAGACAAGAAACAAGGTGTAAGCCTCTACTCATGTCCAATTGAAGGGGGAGGAGTGTTGACCGGGCGGTAGAAGAGACTACCTACTCTTATTACAGATAACACAAAAAAGGACGACAAAAACAGAGGGAAGGATTAGGGGGGGGAGATAACAGGTAAGGAGTCCTGGATCACACTTGGCTATACTCTATCACATTAAGTTTTAACTTAGTATAAGTCTCATTGTCTATTCTAAAAAGAAATTGAAAATAAGGTTACCCGGATTTATTATCGCATCTAGCCAAAGACATTTAATTTTCCATTTTTCCTGTTTTTTTTTTTCGAACCGGGATTTCTTACTAAACTATCAAATAAGGGAGAATCATCGGGACAAAATGTCTTTGAGTGGGGGGAGAGAAAAAATAGATAGATTTAAAAACAAAAAAAATTAAACAAAGAAAAATGTAAATGGGTTTCTGCTAGAGCGAAACTATACTCACATGGGCCAGCAAGTGGTTGTCTGCTTTCTTCCTCATGATGGTAACTGAATGTATGGTTTACTTTATGTCCAAGCATTGACCTGGTTGGGGGGGGGGGATCAACGGCCAATCCTCCGCCCTCACCAAATAGTGGGCTTGGGAGATATGCTTTAGAACAGCAGATAAGAAACGGCTAGAATGAGCCAGTATACCCTCTGCCATCTTTGTTAACACAGCTGTGCTAAATTCCTTTTGTATCACAAAATTCACCTTTTCAGGACTTGAATCCTTGTCCTTTCTGTACCACCCACTTTCATTCGTTGCAAATGACATGATAATCAGAGCTCTTATTTGTCTTCCCATCAATGTGGATGGGCTTCGTCTTCTGCCTGCATACAGAATAGTTCTATAACTTAGGAGTAGTTTGGGTAAATAACTCTCTCTATCACAATCCACTGGGAGAATAATTTTAATCCCAGTTTTATCATTTAATCCAGTGTCTCTGCAAATCCATTTGACTGTGGGTGGTAAGGTGGTGTCTTGTATGGAATGCAGTCAATATGTTTTAACCATGCACATAAACTTTCTTCACAAAAGGTTTTTAGAACACCATTTCTCAAAAACACTATCCTCAATATACACTTCACTGCAGTGGCTTTTCTATTTGCAACTTTAATAAATTCAAGCCAACCTGAATATGAATTGACTAATATCAAAAATAGTCCTATACCTTTAATGTAGGCATGATCCATAATATGTACTTGTGTCCACAGCTCCATTTGCTTTGGGCAAAAGTGAATTTTAGTTTGCTTAAATGTCTTTATTTCTGCACACTTTGGGAATTTTTTAAATATACTCTTCCACATCTTTCGAATAGCCTGGCCACCATGCTTGTAACTGTTGTGAGAGTATTCTGGTTGAGTGTTTAGTTGAAAAACATGTGTCTCCTGGTATATTTATCTCACAACAAAAATGGTGGATTCAGAATGTGAGTCTGGATAATGACAAAAAAAAAAAAACTATATATATAAACAAACGATAAGTATGTACTAACAAACAAGAATATACATAGACAATAGAATATTGTTTTGCGTTACAAAACAATGAATATAAATAGAGAAAACATTTAAACTAGTGAATTTTTGTATGTGTAGCTTGGTGTAGGAGAAAATGAAGTGAAAGGAGCATATGTGCATGCACACAGGTTGTGCATTCCTATTTATCACAATTAATTAATATATCTGCACTATTTAATTTTTTCAAAACTTTCTCTGTTTTACTTTAGAGCTCTTTTTTTACTGCATGCACCAATATTAATGTCATCCTGATATATAAATATATTTTTAATCCCCTCTAAATCTTTTTTGGTGGCTTTTTGAAAAATGTGACTTGACGTTTTGATTCCAAATGGCAGACATGTCCATCTTATTAATCCAGTAGTGGGGGTCATTTTGGTGATTTCTTGAAACTTGCTATCAATTTTTATCTGATTATATGATGATTATCTACTTTACAAAGTATTTTGTACCAGCAAACTCATGGCATGCTGTTTCAATGTTTAGCAACAGGAATGAATCTGAATAGATTTGGTGATTCACGCCTACTTTAAAATCACCACAAATTCTTAAATTTCTATTGGGCTTGCATATCACCACAATGGGTGAACTTGGTAAGTGTTTCATTAAAATTTCAATTCTCACATTTGATACACACTTTAATTGCTAGTATATATAATATGAAATTGGGAAAAAAGTAGTTTTTAAGATCACTTGAACTTGCATCCCACACTTCAGAAATTCATCTTTCGTGGACACTGCCTTAACAATTTTACTAACAGAAGATTGCATGATTAAACAGAATCAAAATTTGTTGCCATTCTGGTAAACTTTTTATTAATTCTTTCCACAATCAATGATTTACTATTTTACAATAGCCATTTTAAAAAATGTTTGCAATTTTTAAGATTATTATTTATCACAAACTTTACTCCATCATATTATTGTAACTTTTGATAACAAATATTGAAAAGTATATCTAATGGTGTCATGTTAAAAAGCAATAATAACATGACATAAAACTAATAATAAAATAATATAGTGATAAGGAATAGTACATTAACCCAGTAAAAAAGTATCTATAATAAGATTTTTATAGTATGTTCACCCAATACAAATCCCAAGAGTCACTTAAGGCAGACACTTACTATGCAGTGATAAAGAAATAAATAATTTTTTTAAAAAAGCAAGGAGGCCAAAAATTTCACCATCTCTAAAAATAGATGTATAATAAAAACCACCAGGCAAACAAAGCTATAGTTCAACCAACTAATCAGAAAGCTTTCCCAACCAGGATGCAGGCCTTGAGGCAATGAGAAATAGAGCACCCTTTCAAAGAAGATCTATGTTTATAAACAGATGAAGAATTAATCAAAATCAGAGGCGATAAATTATTTTTGTCCATTCTCTTATGCTGTAGTCATCATAACATAACCAGATACACCATTTGTATTGAAAACAAATATACCTCCCTTCACCATATGATCAAGTGACAGCTACTACATTTGGATGCATGCATACATATATTTACTTCTTCCAAGCTCTTTCTCTTTCTCTCTCTTATACATCAAGACTTTCCCACTTGAATTCTTGAAACTTCAACTTGCACCTTATCCTTCTGTAAATTATATAGTGTTATATAAAGATTTATTTTGTATATATCAACACTGTTCATTTTCTTTTAATCATTACACAAGGCCAATATACACTCAAATCAGTTATACTGATATATGATGGGAACGGAAGTTGTTTTAAGATAAACAACTCATCTGTAACTGATAACCTTCTAACCCTCATCAGCCTAAGAAAAGGCAAGAAGGTTAGTTCATGCAATTATATAGGAATGTTAACTTTAGTCTTGATGTGGTCAAGATTATAGGGATCAGGAAAACATCCTGCCAGCAGTTCAAGAAGAAGCTGTTCAAGTGGAACTTAAAATTTACTAATAGAATACAAAGGTATTGGGGATGGCAGGTCCTAGCTGCAAAGTGGAGTAAGACTAATAATAATAATAATAATAATAATAATAATAAGAAGAAGAAGAAGAAGAAGAAGAAGAAAGAGTTTAACAACCTTGAATGTTGTCATAAAAAGCAAGACTATTAAGATGGATTAAAACTAGTAATAATAATAAAAACTTCTGACTTATTTGTTTTATTCAAATTGTTGTGATCATCTTGATTATTATATTTGTTATTATAGACACAAAATTTAGGCAATGTACTCCCTGGTCATCTTTAGGCGTCCATTTTTTTGGCTGTTATTTTTTATTTTATATCTGATTATTGTGTTATTTTGTTCTGTTGAATCTGAGTTACCATATTGTAGTACTTGATTCAGAATCAGAACTAACGATGAAAAAATGATAGCAACATTTGACTAACCACTGCATATATTATCGCAAAGGGCATTATTAAATTTTTTTTTTTTTGTGAGACTTTAAATCCAATGTTAGTTGATTTCAGCATTTTGTTATGACAGGTTCATAGTACTTATTTGATAATAATAAAAATTATTAATAATAATCATAATAATAATACCAATAACAATTGTAATAATGAAGAGTTTATCAACTCTAAATATTGTGATAAACAAATAATAATATAATAATAACAAAATATCACATTAGTTGGTTGATACTAAGGTTGTTCCTCTTAAATGTGATATTATTTTCCAAAAAATCAATTATTTTTATTGAATTAGAAAACTAAATGTTATTGAGATGGGTGATATTTTTCATGTTGACATGACTAGAATAATTTCAGTTGAAAAGAAAGAAAACTTATTTTCTTTTAAATTGTATACATATTCTATCTTTTAAGTAGACATAGGTCCAGTTTGCATGTGAGTCAAAAAGCAGACATGTATGTGGCATCCATTAGTCTCAAGAAACCTTGGATCTGCATCCAAAGAGTTATGCCTCAGCTACTGATGGTGGTGCAGCATCTGTTATGGCTGTTTAGGCCCACATGGGTGTGACAGTCTCAATTGCAAGACACTCACCTCTAATGTTGCCTTGTTGTTTTTTTCTGTCGAGCATGCTTCTCCTCATTGGCAAGCCTTCATTTCTTCTCTCCTTGCTCAAGCTCTTGCTGTAAATTGTATCTCCAGCATGAGCAAATGTTGGCAATGTCTTCCCACCTCTTGATGTCCATGTCCATTGCGCGCTTGTGCTTTTTGCAGATGTCCTTGAAGTGAAGATGAGATCACTTGTAAAGTTGGAGATGTTATATTATCGTGCTAATTACAAGTGAGGGACTGATAACTTAATAAGCCTTTATTAACAATAAGGCATATAGCAAGACAGTGAGTTTATGTGTAAGGCACAATGCTGTTGAGCATGTAAGTTGGAGTGTTTTTATTGTATACCTATGCCATGGTGTTATATTGGTTATGTGTAGGGAAATAGTTCTGTGATACTGTCTGGAGTCAAAAAGTAGATATAGGTCCAGTTTAAACTAAGTACAGATAAATCATATTTGTGTATTAGCAAATTATAGTTTTATATATTTTTTATTTCTTGAATTGATATGTCCCAGTAAGGGATATATTTGTTCGAAGTAGCAAAGTGGTTGTTCGCTACTGTAACCGGGTAGGACAATCTAGCAGGTAACCGTAATGGACTGGTCCTCGTCGTAGTGGTAGGCAATAGGCGAAGACAATAGGCATCGTCCTGTACCTCCACATCAGTTTGTATTTATGGCTGACACCAGCCAATCATATTACTGTGAGGGGGAACCCAGGTGTAGGCAAATTCATTGCATCACCTCCCCTTGAGCTAAATTTGCCCGTGAAATTTAGCTTCAATATTTTTTCTTTTTAGTGTTTGGACTTAATCGATTGATTTTTTTCCTAAGTCTTTTTCGCCTCAATCCTCCTTGCAGTGGTGGCGTTTGACACACTGGTACCTCTGGCCTTGAGGTCGGGGATACCTCTATTGACGAATGTTGACTTACTGGAACGGGAATTTCAAATGAGTCATACAGGACTGCTGGTGATAACTCTGACGTCGTATTCGGGTTTGGCGTGATTCTATATACTGCCAAGAATTTCTGAATACTTCTTTCATTAGTGTCCACGCCTTGGTTTTTCTTCAACGCTCGTTTAAAGGTGTCCACGAATTTTTCCGCCTGTCCATTCGATCTTGGATGATATACTGGCATTGTTACGTGACCAATGGACAATGATGTACAGAATTCTTGAATTCTCTTCCCGTAAACTGCGTTCTGTTGTCGCTGACTAAAATTTTAGGGAGTCCAAAGCGACTAAAAATTTCATTAAGTGCCTTTATTGTATTTGTTGCAGTCGGATGTCTGCACTTAACAATTTCTGGCCACTTAGTGAAACTGTCCACAATGATCAGGTAATAAAATCCATTTATGGACCCTGCATAGTCGATATGCAATCGAGTCCATGGGACATTTGTCTTTGGTCTTGGTTAAATCTTTACCGGTGGATCCCTTGCTGCCAGCTGACATCCTCTGCACTGTTTCACCAAATTTTCTATGTCTTGGTCCATCCTCGGCCAATAAGTATAGCCTCTCATTAGCGATTTCCTTCTCGAAATCCCTGGATGGCCAGTGTGAAATTCTTTCAGAATTTTCTTTTGCAAAGTAACCGGCATTACAACTCTATCTGCGTATAATACCTGTTTGCAGATTGAAAAAGGTGACACACTAATTTCTTTTTTAGTTTTCTCGTTCAACCAGACTTGCTTTTTCATTTTTTTTTAAATGAAATCATCGTTCACCACTGCTTTTTTTCACGTCTTCTAGCGTAACCGGTAGTTCTCTAATAGTGTTGCATAACAGACCTGACAATTCACTTTCGTCTCTTAGCGTCGCTATTACTGTTTCTTCCAGTGGTTCCGTATATAAGCCATCGGCGTGACCTAGCTTCTTTGAAGGCACATATTTTATTTTGAAATTATAGTTCAATAGAATTACACCCCAAACGCTGTAGTCGATTTGCCGTGTGAGTTGGTATACCTTTTTTTGAACCAAATATTGTTATCAGCGCTTTGTGGTCTGTTTGCAGAATAAATTCTCTTTCGTATAGAAACCTGTGAAATTTTTTTACAGCGTAGATTATTGCTAAACTCTCTTTTTTGATTTGACTGTAACTTCGTTCCGAGGGCAGTAACGTTCTCGAGCATGTGCTACTGGCTTCGTAGATCCGTCCTCGAATTTATGAAGCAATACTGCACCTAGTCCCTCATTACTGGCATCAGCTGCTACAATGATTTTCCTCTTCGGATCGAAATGTGCTAACGATAGGCAGGTTTTAAACTTTTTTAAAAGCCTTTTCCCATTCTTTCGACCATATCCACTTTGCGCCCTTTTTCACCATATTTTTTAACGGAGCTCTCATATAATACATTTTTGGGATATAAATGCTATAGTAACTTACTAATCCCAAGAAGGCCTGGAGTTTAGTCCCATTATCAGGTGCTGGCATATTTTTTATAGCCTCAGCCCTTTCTGGATCCGGTTTTCTTCCTTTACTGTCAATGATCTTCCCTAAATATTTTATCTTCTTTAAGAAGAACTTGCATTTTTCAGCACTCAACTTGAAACCGTATTCCTCAATTCTCTGAAATACCGCTCTAATATGCGTTTTGTGTTGGGCCTCGTTTTCACTTTTAATCAAAATATCATCTAAATATGTGATTGCATACTCCATACCAGCCAACATTGTGTCCATTATTTGCTGGAATAGGCTTGGAGCTACCTTCAATCCAAAAGGAATACGATTTAGTTTATAAACCCTTTTATGCGTGTTTATTGTCAGGTACTTCGAATATTCTTCACTGACTTTAACCTGAAGGTAAGCCTCCGACAAGTCCAACCTTGAAAACACTCTACCTCCGTTTAATTTAGTGAATATATCCTCCAGAGACGGTAAAGGGTACGCATGGTCTTTCACACAATCATTTAAGCCTGTCGTCGTAGTGGTAGGCAATGGACGTAGGAAATAGGTGAAGACAATAGGGTCGTCTTGTACCTACACATCAGTCTGTATTTATGACTGACACCAGCCAATCATATTACTGTGAGGGGGAACCCAGATGTATGTATATTCATTACATCATGAATGAATGATAGTTTTCAACTCCAGTAGTTCAGTTTATTTTCCCTTCCACCCTTATGAAGTTTATCAACTCTGTGTTGACTCTTAGGCACTTAACAATTTATTGGATAATCCTGCTGGCAATCAGGAGTTGATATCAACCACTCTGGAGACACCTGTACAGTTTTGCCAATTTGATTTTACAGTTGGTTTTACCAGAAAATATGTAGTCATTGATAACTGTGGAATAATGTATTATTCCATCTACGACATTTTACGCGCGCGCGAGTTTCCTCCCTTCTTCCACGCTTGTGTGCGCGCGCGCGTTTGACACCCCCTTTCTGTCTCTTTTAGTCTAATACAGTAGTAACGGTTTTTGGTCACCAGCCAAGCGACTTGCTATGCAAATTAGATTTTTGAAATCTTGCCGCGAAAAATTTGTGACGTCAACGACAAACTGTTGTTTCAAAAAAGTCAGTTGGTGTTCCAGACTCGGACCTAAGCAGACTCATTTTTATCCATGTCAATATTTCAGGTTGACTGGCGAAGGAAATAATACTATGCGACCACAAATAATTTTTTTCCTCGTCCTTTTGGCTCGTCATTCATAATCATTTTTCCGAGACGATGCAAATACCAAATAATTAATTCTTCGTTCCTTTTGGCTGGTCATTCAAGAACCCTTTTCCGAGACGATGCAATACCAGATAATTTTTTCCTCGTCCCTTTTGGCTCGTCATTCATAATCATTTTTCCGAGACGATGCAAATACCAAATAATTAATTCTTCGTTCCTTTTGGCTGGTCATTCAAGAACCCTTTTCCGAGACGATGCAATACCAGATAATTTTTTCCTCGTCCCTTTTGGCTCGTCATTCGGAATTTCTTCTACAAGACTATGAGAACACCAGATAATTAATTCCTCGTCCCTTTCGGCTCGTCATTCAAAAAATCCTTCTACGAGATGATGCATATACCAAATAATTACTTTTCGGCCCTTTGAGACTAGTCATTCAAAGTCCTACTCCGAGTCGATGCAGAACATACAAAATAACAATCCGTCGTCCACTTTGGGTCTCGTCAGAAATCTGTTTTGAACCAGTACAAAAAAAAGAAAAAAAAAATATGTACATAACAATCACATTCACTCACATTACCTAAAAACTCGCAGTGAGTATTTTTCCTTGTATGAATATTATCATGTACATTGACTTATCTGGCATCTCCTTCTTCTTCAAGAGACTTCCCGCCTTTAGCCATCTTGTTTTCTATTTTGGCGCGGAACTTTTTCATTGGTCCCTACCACGGGACAAATTACTTGTTTTTTCCTGCATTTAATAAAAATTACTCTTGTTGAAACCCAGTCTTTTTCAGTCATTCCGAGGAGGCTATCTTGTTAATATATTTTAATCATGCACGTGTGGATTAACCACATTTCTTCGTTGTTCATCCACGCACATTTTTATCTTTTTACTTTGCTTGTAGACTCGGTAGTTTAGTGTGGTGTCTGGCACAAGGCCACTCAGTATAATCCAGCACTGCACCCTACCGGGTCTGCAACAAGATTGGTGACCTTACGACGTGATACGAACACGTAATAATTTTGCAACCTTGCCAACATATTTCTGAGCAAGCTTAAATATAAACGTGCATAAATTCGATAGCCGGAATGACGTCTAGTGACTCTGAAGAGTCGGCGAACATGTCCGCCGCCGTCGCTCCTTTTCCCCCCTTTCATGAAGGGAATATAAAGAACTGGTTCTTACAAATGGAAGCCATTTTCACAGTCAGAAGGATTACAGACCAAAAGACCAAGTTTGGCCACGTGGTGGCGGTTTTGCCACCCGCCATTGTCGATGAGGTCTCAGACTTCCTAGAAGCCGTTCCTGAAGTAGAACCCTACGCGCGGTTAAAAGAAGCAATCTTAAGGAGAATGGGCCGTACAGAGGAGTCATTAATCCGGGAACTATTTAGCAACCTAACTTGTGATGGCAGGACTCCCTCCCAACTTCTTCGTTATATGAAAAGCCGACTCGGCAAAAATACCATGGCTGACTCTATATTAAAAAGCTTGTGGCTGGACCGTCTCCCCACCACCATAACCCAAATTTTGGCGCCAATGTCCGAAAACACCTCGATCGATCAATTAGCGGACGCCGCGGATCGTATTTTCTCGCAACTGGATAATCAGACAACGCCGGTACACAGTGCTGAAGCGACTGGAGACCACAGGTCCTTGGAAAAAACAGTCGAGGAATTGCAGCGCCAAGTTAAGGATTTAACATTAGCTCTAAAGAGCCGTGGTCGAAGCCGGTTCCCTTTCCCGCCGGCGCTTCAGAAGTCGACCACGCTCGTCCAGCCGAGATAAGGATGCCACTCCTACTATGTGTTACTACCACCGAAGATTTGGGTCTAAAGCTTATTACTGCATCAAGCCGTGTACTTATACTGCGGTCGCGGAAAACAAAACCGCCAGCGAGTGAAAGCGACTAATCTCGCTGGCAAGGCATTTTCACCAAAACTTAGTCGCCTTTTTTATGTGACGGACACGCGTAATAATTTACGTTTTTTGGTTGATACCGGCGCTGCCATTAGTGTCTTACCCGTGCGTGATAAAGCTCGTCAACAACCTTTTCAGCTCCGCTTACAAGCAGCAAATGGTTCCAGTATTAATACTTACGGTACGAAGTCCCTTACCCTAAACATAGGGATGCGACGAGACTTTACTTGGAATTTTACTGTTGCTGACGTCAAGATGCCGATATTAGGTGCAGATTTCCTGGCGCACTATGATCTCGCCGTGCGAATGAACAACCATTCCCTGACTGACAACTTAACAAGACTGTGTGTTCTTGGCACTTATTCTAAACTTACCACCACTGGCATCACCGTGGCAACGTGCCACAATAAAGAGTACTTAGACTTATTGAATCAGTACCAGGACCTCCTGCTGGATCTATTGATTCAACTAAACATCAAACACAGCACTTTATTAAGACCACTGGTCAACCTGTTTTTTCCCGTCCTCGTCGTCTAGCACCTAACAAATTAAAATTCGCAAAGAAAGCTTTCGACGACATGCTACGAGAGGGTGTTATTCGTCCGTCCGACAGTCCTTACGCTTCCCCTCTCCATTTAGTACCTAAACCAGGAAAGGAGGACTATAGAATTTGTGTGGATTATAGAAGATTGAATTCCATCACCGTCCGGAATCGTTATCCAATCCCCCACCTCCACGATTTCACTTCTGGTTTACAAGGCGCAAAGATTTTTACTAAAATAGATCTCGCTAAAGCATATTATCAGGTGCCAGTAGCTGCTGCTGATGTCCCAAAAACTGCTGTTACTACACCTTTCGGTTTATTTGAGTTTTTGAAAATGCCTTTCGGCCTTTGCAACGCAGCACAGACATTCCAACGTCTTATGGACGAGGTTCTGCGTGGACTCCCTTTTGTTTTCGATTACATTGACGACATTCTGATAGCTAGCGAGGACGCTGCCTCGCATAAACAACACCTACACGAAGTTCTTCAACGTTTGTCCCATTACGGATTTCGTCTAAACCTGGACAAATGTGTCTTCGGATCAGACCATATAGAATTTTTAGGACATCACGTCGATGCAAATGGAATTGCCCTTTAACTGAAAAGATTAAAGCTATCACTGAGTTTCCCGTCCCTGTTTCTATTAAACAGTTGAGACGCTTTATAGGGATGATCAACTTCTACAGGAGGTTTATTCCAAACTGTTCTAACATTCTGACTCCCTTACCAACTTATTACAGAAGAAGAAGAATAAGACTATTATACTTGAGAGTGAAGCCTTGGACGCCTTTCGAGCAGCTAAAACCGCTCTAGGCAATTTTTCTAAGCTTAGTTTCTTAGAGGACGACCCTCAATCGGATATCTACCTGACCACTGACGCTAGCGAAACAGCAATAGGCGCGGTCATTGAACAAGTCACTCCTTCTCAACGTAGACCTATAGCGTTCTTTTCCGCTAAACTTTCTCCTGCCCAGTCACGCTACAGTACCTTTTCTCGTGAACTGTTGGCTATATTTCGTGCCATTAAGCATTTCAGACACCTCCTCGAAGGTAGGTCCTTCGTTATATTTACGGACCACAAACCTTTAACGTCCGTTATGTCCACTAATTCGGACAAATACACTGCGAGGGAGATCAGATACCTGGACTATATATCGCAATTTACTACTGATATTAGGTACATTAAGGGTTCGGATAACACTGTCGCCGATACCCTATCTCGTACTGAAATGTTTGTCGTGCATACTGATGCACTCAGTCAAGATTTGATCGCCGACGAACAGGAAGCGGACATAACTCTGAAGCATGTGTTATCAGACACTTCTTTAGAACTTCAGAAATGTCCGGCTCCTTTTAGTAACAAGGTCTTATACTGTGATGTAAAATCCAAATCTCCAAGACCTTATGTTCCTCCGTCTCTTCGTAGACAGGTTTTTGACCACCTACACGGACTCTCACACCCTAGCAAAAGAGCCACAGTTAAGTTAATTTCGGACCGTTTCGTTTGGCCGAATATGAACGTTCACATTCGCGAATGGGTTAATACTTGTTTACAATGTCAGAAGTGTAAGGTGCATAGACACACAAAATCTCCCGTGGGCACTTTCAGTGAGCCTGATGCTCGTTTTACTAATATACACCTGGACTTAGTTGGGCCCCTACCAACCTGCCATGGTTATTCCTACCTTCTAACTATAGTGGATCGTTTTTCCCGATGGCCTACTGCCATCCCTGTCAAAGATACCACTGCTGTGACTGTCGCAAAAGCTATTTTATGCGACTGGATTTCGATTTTTGGGACTCCTAAAGTGGTTACTACAGATAGAGGAGCACAGTTCCAGTCGTGTCTTTTCAGGGAATTCACTGAACTCCTTGGTGCAAAGCATATACGTACTACAGCGTATCACCCCTGTGCGAATGGGCTGGTGGAACGATTCCATCGCACCCTTAAGGCTTCGCTATCAACGAAGCATGAGAATAATAATTGGGTCGATGAATTACCTCTCATCCTTCTATCGTTAAGAAATATTCTTAAGGATGACTTGAAATGCTCCCCTGCAGAGCTTGTATTTGGTACTTCGTTATCTTTACCTGGCCAATATTTTTCGCCAGCTGTGACCACACCACCAGTTTCTTCCTCTTTTATTCAGGACTTACGCCTTAAAATGGCAAACTTATGCTATACACCACCGCGGCACTGCCCGAGTGATATCTATTTACCGCACCAGCTCAAGGACTGCGAATTTGTATTTGTACGTAATGACTCTGTTAAGCGGCCTCTTACGCCGGCCTACACAGGCCCATTCCGCGTTCTTAAACGCGCGGACAAATATTTCCAAATACGAAAAGGTATTCACACCGACAACGTTTCAATAGATCGGTTGAAACCTGCCTTTATAGAGAAACCGTCGTCTCATACTACTTCCCAATCAACTCCGCAAGTTCAGGAGAATTTCAAGACACCTGTCTCTCTCGACAAACCTAAGTATACCAGCTCCGGTCGAAAAGTCACCTTTCCAAAGAAATTTGAAACATTCTACTATTATTAGTCAAATGTCTGCGACATTTGATCCAGGAGGAGGGCTGTGTGGAATAATGTATTATTCCATCTACGACATTTTACGCGCGCGCGAGTTTCCTCCCTTCTTCCACGCTTGTGTGCGCGCGCGCGTTTGACACCCCCTTTCTGTCTCTTTTAGTCTAATACAGTAGTAACTGTTTTTGGTCACCAGCCAAGCGACTTGCTATGCAAATTAGATTTTTGAAATCTTGCCGCGAAAAATTTGTGACGTCAACGACAAACTGTTGTTTCAAAAAAGTCAGTTGGTGTTCCAGACTCGGACCTAAGCAGACTCATTTTTATCCATGTCAATATTTCAGGTTGACTGACGAAGGAAATAATACTATGCGACCACAAATAATTTTTTCCTCGTCCCTTTTGGCTCGTCATTCATAATCATTTTTCCGAGACGATGCAAATACCAAATAATTAATTCTTCGTTCCTTTTGGCTGGTCATTCAAGAACCCTTTTCCGAGACGATGCAATACCAGATAATTTTTTCCTCGTCCCTTTTGGCTCGTCATTCATAATCATTTTTCCGAGACGATGCAAATACCAAATAATTAATTCTTCGTTCCTTTTGGCTGGTCATTCAAGAACCCTTTTCCGAGACGATGCAATACCAGATAATTTTTTCCTCGTCCCTTTTGGCTCGTCATTCGGAATTTCTTCTACAAGACTATGAGAACACCAGATAATTAATTCCTCAAAGCTCGTCATTCAAAAAATCCTTCTACGAGATGATGCATATACCAAATAATTACTTTTTCGGCCCTTTGAGACTAGTCATTCAAAGTCCCTACTCCGAGTCGATGCAGAACATACAAAATAACAATCCGTCGTCCACTTTGGGTCTCGTCAGAAATCTGTTTTGAACCAGTACAAAAAAAAAAAAAAAAATATGTACATAACAATAACATTCACTCACATTACCTAAAAACTCGCAGTGAGTATTTTTCCTTGTATGAATATTATCATGTACATTGACTTATCTGGCATCTCCTTCTTCTTCAAGAAACTTCCCGCCTTTAGCCATCTTGTTTTCTATTTTGGCGCGGAACTTTTTCATTGGTCCCTACCACGGGACAAATTACTTGTTTTTTCCTGCATTTAATAAAAATTACTCTTGTTGAAACCCAGTCTTTTTCAGTCATTCCGAGGAGGCTATCTTGTTAATATATTTTAATCATGCACGTGTGGATTAACCACATTTCTTCGTTGTTCATCCACGCACATTTTTATCTTTTTACTTTGCTTGTAGACTCGGTAGTTTAGTGTGGTGTCTGGCACAAGGCCACTCAGTATAATCCAGCACTGCACCCTACCGGGTCCGCAACATAACAATTGATAAAAATGATCACTTTAAATGGGTTATCTGTGAAGCAACATATTAGTTAATTTTAAATAGCTTATATCATCTGTTCATATTTATTTGTTTAGGGTATTTGTAAGGCCTTGAATATATAGCACTCAGAAAAGATCAAATTCACTATCCTAGTTAAAATATATGAGATTGCTTACAAAACATTGCTCCATAGAAAAGTTTTCTAAATATTTATCTTGCCTAATTTATTAAAGCAAAAACCATTAGGGGAAGATAAAAATCACTACAGTATTAAAGATGTGCAAGGCTAGCTTTGAATTCATAGTGAAAAGCATACGAGGAATTATTATTATTATATAATTCATTATTCAGATCAGCATGTTCGTTTTGGTAGATGTTATCTTACCACACAAGTTCCATCATTGACCTTGGGTCATATATACAAGTCAGTGATGTATTATGGGTAGTCTATTGTATTATTCTAACAGTTTGTTTATTATTTACTTAGTTTATTTATTTATTTGTTTGGATTTTTGTGTACTTATTTTATTTTATCTATTTATTTTTGTTTATTCTTGTTTGTTTTCAGTTTTTGATTTTAAGTAATGTAGTAAAAATTTGTTTTCATGTCTGCATTTTGAGATGAGTTCTAATCTTTTATTTAGTAGTTTGTTTTGGTCTGGGAAGTTAATTATAGCTACTTTTTACTCCAGGCAGAGTTTACCATTTTTGGATTGATTGTTGTAGGCTATGTTCTTTCCTTATTTTCCATATTTTTGGTGTGATTTGATTTTGGTTTTAATCTCCCAGATAAGTTTAGAAATGATTGTGCTGTTCAAGTATTTACTATTTGTAAAGGATGTCTTTTATTCATAGTTTCTTAGTTTCAAGGATCCTTCAGTTACTCCTATGTATATTTTTGCATTATCTGCTGATTTTACAGTGGATTGGTATATTATATTGTTCTACAAGTAATTGCCATTTAAAGCACATTTGTTCTTTATTCTGCAGTTACACATGGGCTTAATTTGTTCAGGAGGTTTGTTAATTGTTTTCCTGTTGTGATTTTTTATTATTTGTGTCATATTCTTCATGCAACCGCAGCAGATTTTTACTGTGTTTTTGTTGAATATCTTATGGAGAGTTCTTGATGTGGAGAAGTGTTTGTGTATGAGTTTGATGAATATTTTTCCTACATTTGTTTTTATGGTTTTGTTGTATGGTAGGTTGAACCATATGATGTTTCTCTTCCTGTTGCCTTTTTCTTGTGCTGTGTGGTGTGTATGGGAGTATTGTCAAAAATCCACCATTTTTTAGGCCTGTTTCATAGTCTTTTTTAGCTTTGTTGAATATGTTTTCACTAGAAGATTTGTTGGAAAGCCAGCGGTTAATTGATTGTGGTATCTGCTTGATTATTGATTCAGAATTATATAAAATATTCAATAAAAACACAGTTAAATTAAGCTACAGCTGTATTAGTATTTTAGAAACATTAATAAATAGACAAAATGCCAGAAATTTAAAAAATAATGTGCAGTAAAATATAGTTATCACTAGTAATTTATGTAACTGTAGAAATAAATAGGTGTCCATTAAATGGAGCTAGTAAAATGGAAGCAATAATTTATAAAGCAGAAAAAACAGATATTAATGGCCAGAATAAAATGTACATAGGATGTACTGAAGGTACTTTCAAACAAAGATGGTACAATCATAGTTCATCATCCAAGCTAGTGAGTCTTAGGTATTCTACCAAAGGAGCTGACTATCTGTGGAATTTAAAAGAAAAAGCAGTAGGGATCCGATTGTAAGCTGAAAAATTTTAAAAAAGGAAAAGCCTTATAACAACCAGAATAATATTTACAACCTCTGCCATCAGAAAAAATCAGCAATAATGACATTTCCAGATCCAAAGAACATTTTGAACAAGAAATCCGAAGTCATGAGTCCTTGCATACATACTAAAACATTCCTCTTAAGCACATACAAGACTGGGTAAAAAAAAAAAAAAATGTACACTTCAATTAATCCCCCACCAATATATTTATAATACCCTTGCTTTTCTTCTCTTCCCCCTTCTTCTCCTTCCTTCTTCATATCCTCCTCTACCTCCCTTTCTATCACACCTGACGTCATGTGTTTGTTGATTGATTTTTAAAAAATAATATAGCATTCATTAGTTTTTTTAAAAAATAAAGCATTGGGAGGTCAATTGATAAAAGTCACCTGAGGATAACCTTAAGGTTGAAACCAAGGTAGTGCATTCAACTGATCTCATAATTTTGAAAGTATACAAATATATATATATATATATATATATATATATATATACCTCCACATTTACACAGATATACAAAGGTACATACAAATATTTTTTACAATTTCTGAGTACATATTAACATGTTCACGATTGTATTCATAAAAAATGTAATTATATGCACACAGATAAATGTATATTCATACAAATCTATTCATAAATATATATATATATATTCATACATATATTCATACATATATGTATGTATATATATGTATAATATATGTATATACACAAAATATATAAAAACATATATATATATGCACTCACATAGATACATATGATATATATATATATATATATATATATATATATATATATATATACAACTTACAATAAATCCAATATATGTTTCTTAGCTGTAAGCTATGCACATGTAACATAATGATATATATATATATATATATATATATATATATGCACACACATATGATTCACCTAATTGCAAATACATTCATATAAATACACATTCATTCTTTAAGAGAAATCACAAAATATACATATATACATAATACATATTAGCTAAAAACATAAACATGTTTGCAAGTAAATAGGAATTTACTTATAAATACTAAATATATAATCATACATTTAAATTCAGAAATTAAGAAAATGTAAATAAAATGAAGGTTGATATATATTTTAAAATTGAGGCTATGTGGCAAGAATTGAACTCAATCGAGTTCAACATTTTCAAGATGTATTCGTTTTTATGTTTACATATGACCATTAATTCATTTCATTTGTTTAGTAAATTAGGGTTATTTATATATTTTTGAATGATCAATTTTTCTAAAAGGTAAAGATTACATCTTTCACCTTTAATATTGTAACATTTAGTTCTAGCCATTATTTCTTATGTAATTTCTGATACAGTTCCACCACCTTTTATTTGCAAGTAATATTTATAGAGATGAGTATTATTTTTGTATTTAGCATTTATTGTCCATTTGACCATTACACTAGTTCTTAGCACTTTGAAATGTTCTACCCACTCATACACTTTTTGTTGATTCATGATGCATGCTCCATACTGTACCAACATCTGGTGCTGGATCTTCACAGGTTTGACTCCCTCTACATACAGAAGGCACACTACAGTATACTATGGCACCGTTTTTCTTGATGGTGCAATCATTAGTAGAACATCCATATGTCTGACCTCATTGCTCCCTACCACTCACCTGAAAGATGGAATGCTTTGTGTGTCTAGTTACCTGTCTTCCCATGTGCACAAGTACTGTTGCATATCAGTTCCTCCGTGTTGAATTTTACCATGTAATTTAAAAATATTGTGTTTACTTT